AAACTGGGTAGTCGGGATGTATCCAACGAATGTAGGTGTGTACGAGTTTGATGGCATCTTCTTTTCTTGGAAGTTCCTGCGCGTAGACGAGCGTCAGCTTTATCGTAACAAAAATGAAGTCTGCAGCCCCTTTGCATAGAGAAGAGATGCATACGAACCTGCCGTAGACACACGTGCAAGGCACGATTATATTCTTGCGAGACGTTGCTTGGGATGGTGCTGTCGTGCCATTCAGATGCTGGTCCCTGGGCTTGGACGTCATCAATCAAAGCAACCGGTGTTGAGCCCGCACTTGAGGGAGACGCCCCAATGAGATTTGTGAAAAGAACACCGGAACTCGATCCCAGATAGTGCTTTTGATCTGAATCCGAGTTGAGCGATAGCATCCCTAAATTCCTGGCGACCGAGTGTGCACGATCCGGGAACTCTTCGTCGTGGTCGTTGGATCCCGCGGCCTCCGCGGTACGCTTGAGACTGCCTGATCGTTGCGACCCCAGAACTATAGTCCCTCCCACCGGCACCGGTTGACTACATCCGCGGCCGGACCGGGGAGACGATGTCGAGATATTGTCCTCATCGTAGTCTCCACCTCCGACGACCCCCGATCCTTTCGGGTCCGGAAACGCGTCTATTTGCGGACCGCCTGCTATGTCGACGTCAGGTAGCCGCTGTTTGATTATTTCCTCTAGCCATTGAATTCTAGCACGTGCCGCGCTCGCAAAGCTATACGTGGATAAGGATCATCAGTCATGGACTCCTCTAGCCGTCTTTGAGTACCTTGCAGGGCAGATGGGACTCCAGTATGAAGCGCTCAGAATGGATCCAACGAGGGCGCAGTAGGGGCCATGGCAATTATGGCATTCACACTTACTTGCGAGGAACCAACAAACGCGAGTTCTGACTATCAACATCTAGGCAAGTTTCGCCGGCTTTTGCGCAATTCGTGCAGGCAGGGACTTCTCCGTCGCACTGAAAAGTTGAGAATGAGCAACCCGAACAGTTTGAGCCGGAGTAACGCGGCGATGGTCCCAGTCATTGTCCAGGCTAGTAAGACCAAACCCCAGCGCGGGATTTGATCTGACTGGAGCCGCAACGCGGGTCGGGGATTATGAGAGAGTCTCACCTTTATTCGCCTTGTGCGACAACGACGACAGGCGAGCCGGACCTTCTTGGGCGGATTTGCCCGTGTAGCCATCTCTGAATATGAAGTTGTCGATCTTCTCTCGTTCTTTGAAGGTTATGTCCCACGGTGTGAAGGTAAGCGACTTGGAATGAATTGGCGAGGAAATGAATGGAAAAAAGGCATAGCCCGGGGCAGCTCCCGACAATGGCAAGGCACGTAGCTACTAAACAAGCTAGCACTCACGTTAGGTACCAAGTACATTTACTGGATCCCGGGAGGGGTGTTTCTCAGGGGGCTTGTCGCGTCACTTTCCGCCTTTCACTCAACCCCTGACGGGATGTGGCTTGGGCTGCTTTTTCGGGATAGACAGACAGAATTCGCGGGAAACATACATCAGGCATACCGGGGGAGAATCACACAGAATCATACAAGGGCTTTTACAAGAGCTACAAGGAGTTCCAGCTACTGTTCGAGCCTTCATCAAGACCTTATACAGAGGAGCATACCCGGAAGCAACGATAGCTACCCTTTGCGACGGATACCTATAGGTACTGCACTTTGGACACTCGGGAAAGTCCTAAGCGAACGGTACAACGCCTATGTTTCCTTGGAAGACCTCGGTAGTATGTGGAGAAGCTGGCTTAGTGCCCAATTGGCAAACCTGGATCGGTAAGCGTACCTGTACTCCATACTTTTGCATCGGACACTTTGTTGAATCTAATCAGGGCTGGCGGACGCTGGAGTCTGGACGCTGTCGCTCCTTCGCCAAGAGCATTCGCAATATGTTCTGCCTGACAAGACGAACCTTGTCAACCCGCCGGCGGTATTCTCGTTGAAGCTTTACGAAGAATTGTTCTTCCGTTAACAGAAGGTTTCACCGCTAGGGTCTCACTACTGCATGCTCCAAATGACGGGTGGATTCCCTGGGAGTCGGAGATCTATTAGTTCATGGTCCGTGGACCCGATACGGCCTGGAGGCTGGAGTTACCAACGATTATTCATGCTTGAATAGACTCTACCACCTCATCCCAAGATAGTCTATACTTTGTTTACAGTTTGAACTACCTTATTCTGCCGGATAACGTTCGATAGGGCACGGCAGATGGTGGAGCAAATCAGCGTGTAAAAAAATGTGCTTCGGGGCATCGGGGAGCACGCTGGCCGTAGGCCCTCCGTGCACAACACCTCCCGATCGCCTAGTCGCACGATTGATCCACCGTCATCGCACTACCGGCCCTGGTGTTATAGGTCGACTTCTGTGATTTTGATGTTCTAGATTCCCGCTGGGACTTGTCAGTTCGCTGCCATGCTGCCCAAGTGAGCTTTACGATCTTCCCGTCAACCTTGATGAAATCCTTCACCTAGGAACCCCTCGGCAAATTTTATTCTCGTGGAATCGCACTTGATGAATCGCCTCCCGCCTCGAAGTCGATACATCTGAGACGCAGAACGCACTGGCGATGGGCGTATAGTAGGCTACAGCATCGCGGAGCGGCTTGATTTTATTCCAAGGATGGCTGGGACGAAAATTCCCAGTGGGGAGTGGAATGAACTCAAAAGCTGCATTGTTCATTACGGGATTACCTTTGTACTCGGTCGGACGCTCGCTTGGCTTTGTTTGGCACGCGGGAGTGTGACTTAATCTGACTCGCGGTGACGGGAATGAGTGCTCCGCCGGATGTAAGTGAGCTTGATGTATCACGTCTTTAAGCAGGAACACAGGGCCAGTGGCGGCTGCACCAGGAATAATCATTGAATGAAAAGAGGCCGGGGGTGTAATTATGCGGCTCTATGTCGATTTGAAGAGGCCTAGGCGTAGGTCAAGGCAATACCAGTGGTCATCTTCGTGTAGCGATGATGAATGAACTAGCAAGCCTTCGCTATCCATTTTTGCTGGCTAGCATGTGGGTTATTGGTTGAATTAGGGACACTGGCCTACTACTTGTACCGTTCGTTTTCCGTAGTACGGTAGGCTATCCGTAGACCGCTGAAGCTCGATGTAGAGTTTATGTACAGCTCGGATTAGCCCCAATTCGCTCTTTACAGGCCACCCCTTGTGGCTATTCTAACGTTCGTTACGGAGTACGGAGTAGAGCGGATGAATTGACACGCAAAGTCCAAAGCTTAGAATCCAAACCCCAGACCGTAGCGTCAGACTGGCAAGGCCAGGGAGGGGAAAAGGGGAGCATTCCACGCATCGCGTGGAATCCGCGGTTTCCACGCATTCCACGGAGACGCTCTGACCAGTCTCCTATGGAGCAGGTTTGTCTTGTTACCACCTGGCACCCGTACGGGGTCCTCGTTTCCCGTACGGATATTGACGGAGCAATCCGCCAGCCGGATACTTCTCACACGGATAGCTCCTTTGGAGGAACTTCCTCGATTGTTCACCTGCAGACAATTGATGATCTTGTCGCGTGAACGTGTCGAAGATGCGTGTTTGTGTCTGCTTTCTCTAACTACCGTAGTGCTGGCATAAACCATCGTCTCCGTGCTACTGTTACCACCGCTCGGAGGAACCCGAGTGAAGATGACTGTTATATGAATGATGGCGTCGTTGGCTGGGAGAGCCCTCGTCGCCGATCAAAGCCACGAGTGCATTGCCGTTCACCAGTACTGGCAAACGTTCTCGCATTGACTGATTCCTTTGCGATGCCTCCTTCTGCTACATCGATTGAGGAGAGACAACACGTTCTGCTCCCGCGCGGCGGATGGGATACTCATCACCATATCTTCGAACGTAGGTCTACTTGTCATGCGAAAATTTCTTTCTGGCGGCCAGATCATCAACGAAAAACCCGCTAATTCAAGCACTTTCGTCGTCGTCAAGCCGAATCTTTCCCTTACAGCCCAAACAGGCATCTAACTCCGCCGCCCGCGACGATTGCCGCGTTTGAACAATTCAAAAGAAGCTTAGGCATCACGAGATCTGTACTCACACATGGATTATCCTACGGGAATGACTGCACGTCTCTCAAGGCGTTCATCCCCCGGCTCGGAAGCCAAAAGACTCGGGCCGTTGGCGTTATCGATCCTGAAACGACGACAGACGAGGAGTTACTTGCGATGCACAGAGCGGGTGTCCGCGGCCTTCGCGTGAACCTGTATCAGTTCAAGGCTATGGAAGATGTCGAGCTACAGAAAGTTGCTCTGCGTTCGCATCTGAACAGGATTACAGACCTATCGCTCCCATGGAGCTTGACGATGACGACGACCCGCACCGAGTTTTGGACCACGCTGGAGCCCTTCGTCCGAGACGTCATAGTCTCGCAAGGCGTCATCTTGGTTACAGATCACTTTGCGTTGCTGAAGGCGACAAGTCTGCTGCCCGGTGAACATCACGAGGACCCGACGACCCAGCCAGGATTTGACGCCGTGATGAGACTAGTGAGGGACGGCCATCTGTGGGTAAAGCTGAGCGCACCGTATCGCATCAGCGACGACAGCCCAGGATACTCGGATGTGGAGTTTCTAGTGCGCGCATTTGTCGATGCGAACAAGCACCGGGTGCTGTGGGGCAGCGATTGGCCGCATACGCCGCGAATGAAGGTCCGGACACACGAGGCTGCCATGAGGGAGACGCCGTATCTCGAGGTAGATGATGCGGCGTGGCTCAAGAGCCTGAGGTCTTGGCTCTCAGATGAAGAGTGGGATCTGCTAATGGTTCAGAATCCAAGCCATATCTTTGGACGGTGAAGAATTTGATGAGATTGGCCGCGGTCGAACCGGGGCTCGAGAAGAAGCAACATGTCGTGAAAGTCAAACTCAAGGGAATGGTCTAGCGATCAAGCTTTTACAGTGGCAATAAGACGTTGTATAAAGCGTGAGAACTTCTGGCTGCACTGCAAGCTGCTAAGTATTACCTATCTGACAACAGTCATTTATCTTTCCGGACACTTTTGATGAGGTCTCCCATGGAAGCCCCCTTCTTCAGTTCGACAAACATCTTCTCATCAACTTCGGCCCTTTCCTGGCATAGAGCTACCACCTTCTCGACCAGAGAAACAGGAGTAACCACGACGCCGTCGGCATCGCCCACCAGAATGTCGCCGGGATTGATCCAAAGGTCTTCCTTGAATTGGAGCGGCACATTGACTCTTGAAGCCCGTGTGAAAGTGTTGGATCCGAGGATCGAAGTGCCTTGCGCAAACACCTAACCAAAGCAGTCAGGTTTTTCCATCCCCTCCTTTACTGTCAGAGGAAGAAAACTCACGGGGAATCCCATTTCGTTGTGCTCTCCAACATCTCGCATGCGACCATCAATAACCACAGCCTCCGCCCCGAGATACTTTGCTCTCGTAGACATCAGCCCGCCCCAGCAAGCCGAAGGCAAGCCCTTGGGTTGCTGGACGTACATTATGCCGCCCTCCTGATTGTGGTCGACGAAGTGCTTGTCTAGCTTGGGCGCCGCGGTATTGCTCATCTCCACCATCTCGACGGTCACTGCGGGGCCGAAGACGCGTCCTGACGCGCCCGGCGAGAACATGCGGATCCCATCAAGAAAGCCCCCCTGGGGGTATTTGAGCTTTACAAGAGCATCCCCAATCTGACCCAGATGTTATTGACTACTTTGATACAATATTGATAAGATTTGATGGCTGAAGCCGGCCGATCGACGACCTTGGCCAAAGATGCACTTACGTCACAGGAGGTGAACTTGCGAAGAGCTTCCAGAGCGCGTGGGGACATCATGGTGTTTTGTTTAAGACTAGTAATTGAATGGCTAAGGCCCAGAAGTTTCACTGACTAAATCTTGTCAATTCAAAGTTCTTCTCATGACCGATTACATATATAAGGCAAGTTCAGGGTGTATTCGAATGCCTGCCGGCGTACCGAGCGAAGCTCCGACCTTCGAGACGCGGGGTTGCGGGCCAGCACCGAAAGCTCGGACCATCATCTAGGCCATCAAGGGCGGGATTACTCCGTCTCCTGGGTTCGGTTCAAGGAGACATCCGGCCACAGATGTAGTGACGGGCAAGGAATATAGAACATCGAAGTCTTCTGGGCCAGCTTTTAGTGGCCAGACGTAGAGAAAGTCTAAGCTGGAAATAAGTTAAATAAAAAGAAACAAGATCTCACTATCAGCCAGTAGCTTAAGACCTCCGTTATTAGGGGTCACTAGTCCCAACATGAGGGGCAGTAGAGGGAGGAATATTTATTTATTTATTTTTATTTATCCTATTTTACGCCGTAATATCCTCAAGTAAGGTAAAAAGCGACTATACCGCACTAAAATTATATAACTATATATAGTACCTTATAAAACTTATATAATACCCTCTTATAAAATAATATAATATATAATCTAAGATTTAACCCTTTTACTTATATATAGCCCTCTATAATATTTTATAACTTAGAGTAGCTACGCTTAGTAAAGTTCGAGTACTACGCTAATAATATAAAAAATAAGCTAAGTAGTATTCTATATATTTATAAAAAGACCCTCGTTATACTATAACAAGTATTACTACTTAAAGTAAGAAGTTATATTCCTCTAATAAGTTAAGGAAAATAATATATAGTTATAAAATATATAAGTAGAGATATAACGTAATATAATATAAATAAATAACGTTAATACTAGTATTATAATATAATAGTACCGTAAATAAACGTAAGCTTTATAAAGCTATTAAAGTATATAGCTTATTATATATCCTATTTAAACGAGCTATACTAACGTACTCGCCCTATAAAATTAATATCTACTAGGGGAGCTAATTACTATACTAATAAACCTACTTATATAAGGGGGTTTAGCCCAAAAAAAACTTCCCTAAATAGTTAGTTAAAAAGCAAACTATATAATACGTCCTATTACGTTAGTTTACTAATATAAAAGCCGAGGGGGGCACCCCGAGACCTCTATTATAACTATATTATTTAATAATAAATACGGGTCTAATATTACTATAACTAATCCCGTAAGTACTAGCCCAATTCTAATATATATATATAAAAATAGGGATTTAGATCCCTATTACTAAGTTACCTCGGGTAAATATTAATATAGAACCAGGAGCTCTATAATATTATAATATATATAAACTAATCTTTACTAAACTAACCCCAGATAAACTTAGCGCGGGCAAACTATAATATACCCCTACGTATAACTAATTAATAATAATAAATATAATTAAATATCTTCTCCCTTCCGCACGAGTAACAGAGGTTCGTATCTATATAATAATATAAACAATAATATATAACAAAATCCTTATAACTAAACCTAACTAATAAAAGCTAATAAAACTACTACTATATAAGTAACTTAAGTTCTAAATTTAGCCCGCTATTAATAAAAAGTCTTAATCCCCTATAAAAATCTAATTAGTATTCTTCCTACTAGTTTTAAAAAGCGCCTAATTACTTTTCCTTAATCCGGCGCCTAAAATACGTAATAATTAGAGGGTATAAGTAAAAGTTAAAAGTCCTTATAATAGTACCCTTTTTAACTAAGCAGTTTACTATCTCGTTCTTTATAATACCCTTATAGCTAAGTATCTAGTAAGAAGTAATAAAGATCTTAACGTTCTTAATAAGCTCCCTAAAATTAAAAATAGCTCGTTAAAAAGAAGAGGGGGGGGTACTATTTAAGTATTTAATAATAACCTAGTTATCTAAATATATAATAATAATTATAATATCTCTGTTTTTAAGCCTTAAGGCCGCGCAAAAACTAATAATAGCCCCTTTAATTTTAATATTAAAAACCTCTACCCGGGGTAAATAATAATACTTAAAATAAACTAACTACGGGCTATAATAAATAATATATTTATAACCCATAGCCTCTAGAGAAGTTTATAACCTATTGGTATAAACTATAATATATATAACTAGGAGCGACTTATACTATTCTTAATAGTTCCGTATTTTTTTTAACTTAGTAAGGTCCTATACTCTACCGGGGCTCTATATAATTAAAAAATCGTAAAGTAATAGGGCTAGCTATAAGGGCCGTTTAACCTAACTAACTACCTAGGTAAGGGTAATAAAGTAAGAGGGGTTTCTATAATTATAAAGTAACTTATAATTACAAATTCTCTAAACTAGGGGGTAATAATAATTTAATATAAATAGTTTAATAATATAGTAATCTCTAACTAAATCTAAAAAGAGCTCAATTAGTAATATACTAACCTCGTATAATAAAACTATAATTAGAGTAGTTCGCTATACTAAAAAAGATCCTCTTAGAGTAATATTAATAAAGGTTTAGAGGGTCTAAATAATAAATTTTAGCCCATTCTATATTTCTAATCGGGCGCATATTTTTAAATTAACCCTAGTTTTAAAAACTAACTTAGTTAGGCCTAGGTACTATAGCTCGGTACCGTAGAGGGCCTTTAGTATAACTATAATATATACTACCTTATATATAATAATAAGAAGTATACCTTTAAAAACCTTATTAAATCCTTTAATATACCCTACTATAAACCTAGCCTTACTTTAATAATCCGTAATATATTTATAAAAAAATAGCCGTTTATTAAAAATAATACCTAGCTACTTTATAATACCTTTTCTATTTAGTCTAATCTCCCTATTACTATAATAAATAAGGGGAAAGGGAATATCTCTAGCCTAGGGTAAAGTACGCCTTATAAAATATAAAACTTCGGTTTTTATAAAATTAAGTCGGATAATATTATTACTACCCTAAATAATAGTATTATTAAAAATCTATTATACTTAAAAAGTAGCCTTAGTAAAGTCTTTCTTAACGTAAAGTATTGCGTAGTTATTAATATAACTAAACCTAGCTAACTCCGGGCCGACCTAATAAATTTATTTAATATATATAAAAAAAAAAAAAAAATAAGATCGGTAACCCCTATAGTAGCTTATAAAAAAGGGGGGATATAAATATTTAATATCCTTTATAATAAACCGAGGCACGGTATAATTAGTTAAAATACTAAACCTAGGTAATAATATTCTCTAACTAGCCCTATACCCTAAGTTAGTTACATAAATAGTTATATAAAACTAAGTTAAAAGCTCTTTTAATATTTATAATAACGAGGATAATAATAAGCTTCTTATTAAAAGCCGCTTATATATTATAAACTATTACGCTAGTAATATTAATAACTAATTATTTAAATAATACCCCGGCTATTTAAAAATAAAATACGCCCTAAGTAATTATAATATAAAATATCCTCCTAGCTATAAAGCGCTCTAAACCCTTCTTTAAAGTCGTTAATAATAAAATCGGGCACTAGCCCTTATATATATATATATCCTAATTAAGCTTTAGGATTATTACTACCTTAGCGTCCCGCTAGGCCTTAAAATAGTACCCGAGTATAAAATAGGATTAGTAAAAATAATAAACGTATTTATTAATATATAGCTAATAAGCCCGTAATATAAAAACTATAATATTATCTGCACTAGGGATAATATTACTTATACTTAATACTATATCTTCTATTTCGTACTAATAAATAATTAAATCCTAAAATAAGATCTACTTAGGGTATATTATAGAATTAAAATAAATATTATTTTTTATAATCGCTCGCTCTAAAAGTTTCTTTTAAAAAAGTATTACCTTTTTAATAAGCTTAGTAATTATAATTTTACTATTTTATAAAAGAGGGGATTAGACCTAAAGCCTTAGCTAGTTCTAACTTATAATCTAATATATATTAAAATCCTTTTTAATAAAAATAACTATTCTAGCCTATATAGTAGCCTTAGCGCTCTATATAGTACTATTATACTATTTATTAACCTTAGCTATAATAATAAAATAAAAATCAGCCGCGTATACTACTTTAAAATACTTATTAATCTTAATATAAAATTTATTCTACTATTTCGTCCCCCTACTCCCCGCATAATATAAAATAAAAAAAATAAAAAAAGTATATTAAAAAATAATATTCAGGCTCTCTATAACTAGATCGAGGTTATATATAAAATCGTATATAGTATATATACTCTAAGCTAGCTCCTCTACCTTCTCTATAAACTAAAATATATTTTCTAAACTAATCCTCCGCTTCTTTTTTCTAAACTAATATATACTACCTAAGCTAGCAAAGAGGAGGATAATTATAATAAGAGTATTATAATCTAACCTAATATAAATATAGCTAGTAATCTAAGTACGGGCTAGCAGAATATTAATAATAATAAAGTCGAGTACGTTACTAGCTTTATAAATAGGGACCCCTATAAGGTTTAGGATAATAAAATAGTAATCGTCTATTTAGTTAGCTAAGTAATTCCTAAATATATATAAAAATATCCCTAGCTACTAATTCGTATAGCGAGAGTTCAGGTCCCTTATAATAAAGACCCTTTATAAAAAAGTCTAAAAATTAAAAGCTACTAATATATACCTCTTATTAAATACGTAATAAACGTTAAGGATATAGTACTTTAAAATACGCACTCCAAGTATATCCTAGTAAAAAAGCTCTATAATATTAAATACTACTAAATAGGAAAGGGAGCGTCGGATATATATTAAAACCCGTAGCTTATTTAATATAATATCCTAACTCTAAACTAGTAAATATAAAATAAAGTTAGAATAAGATTTTATAATATTCTATAACTTACTTATACTATACTATAGCTCTTATAATAATAGGATATCTATTTATTTAAATTTAGTAATAACTAGGGCATAATTATACTTACGCCCATTCTTCTATATA